CTCTCTCTCTCTCTAAAAAAATATATATATATATATATATATATATATATATATATATATATATATATATATATATGTATATATATGTATATATACGTGTGTGTGTTTCTCTCTCTACTAAGGGGAATGGAAAGGAAGATGTGTTTATGTGTGTATGTGTGTGTATCGCGTATGTATATACCGCCTACAATATCCGAGGAGAGACGAGGAGCTCACAACCATACTTAACCAGCAGTCAGTCGTGTTATATTAAAAATCGTGACTTCGCGCTTGAAAAATCGGCTAAAAAACTACGGGCTAAACCTTGCAACATGGTTGCAGCAGAATATTTATTATATTACGCCAACGCGGACTCGGTGGCAGGACAGTGATATAAATACGGAGACTCCTCGCGGTCCTCTGTCGACTTCTCACGCGTCGTCTTATTCTCTTCACGATCGGGGGGGATTACAATGTGTGCCGCCGCTTTCCCGCCGTACGCTGGATCGCGCAGAACGAATCCTATCACTTTCGCGAGGACGACTCGCGGACGCGCGCGCTATATATATATATATATATATATATATATATATATATATATATATATATATATATATATATAATCGCGCGCCTTGACATTTATTTCCTTCCTTTCTTCTTTTTTGTTTCTTATGTACAGTGGGAGATACGGTATTATTATTACAACTTACGCGAGAACTACGAATCAGCTCGTTAAAAGCGCCCCGCAGTTAGTAACACTTCTTTTCGACTCGTTCTCTTTCCACACACGCAGCATCATGTACACGCGGACATCACGTCGTCAGACATTCGTCAGGCATCCGCGCGTTGGTCACTCACTCTCTTTCTTTCTTTCTTGTTTTCTTCCTTTGCCGTTCATACATAAAACGTAGGGTGTACAAGTAGGATGACTACGTCTTCATTGCTTCGATGATCGACTTGTGATCGGCACAAGTTTTACAAAAAGGAACGATATTCTCGGTGCGTCCAATGGGAAGATACAGATAATGACAAAGAGAGAAGAGAGAGAGAGAGAGGAAGAATGAGTGAGAGAGAAAGAGAGAGAGAGAGGAAGTTCACAGAATATGATCTAGATTCTGATTTCTATTTTAAGCGTATTACTTTTCGGGACGTCCGACCGCTGAATGTACTCTCCCTCTCTTCCGTTCTTGTCATGCAAAAATCGCACGCACGACGCCCTGTGTACAGCGGCCTTTCGACGCGCAACAGCTCCGTAAGTACATGGGTTTTCTGTCATAGGACGCGCTTACTTGGGTTATCAACGTGTACGGGTGTTTTTCTCTTTTTTTTTGTTTGTTTTTAACACGGTACAGTACGGTTTACGTTTGTGTACACATCTCTCGAGAGTGGTAGTACGAAGTTCGTCGGCCAGACTAGTACAAGTGTGGACACCTTTGGACATAACACACAGGTTTCACGTTCGTCGCCTCCGCGCGAGTCCTCGTCGTTTGATCCGCCGCCACTCGTCGCGTTGCTGTAAGAAGAAACGCACAGGTCTGAGTGATGATCTCCGAGACTCTGGCGGAATTTTGAGACCTTGAGCGCGCGCGAAAGGAGTCTCACTATCTCTTCTCCTCTCCGTCGCGAAGAAGAAATTACGACTAAATTTGAAGCATCCGATTTTTCTCTCCCTTATCTCAACTCAATAGTTACTTTCAATTTTTCTTTTCTACGTTAGCACTGAGAAAAAAATGTCTGAAGACTTATAAAGTTCATTCGCACAAATAAACTTTATAGATCTCACAGGTAAATTTTCAAGTATTTCTCCTCAGTGCACTAAGAAACAGATACTTGTGGACTATAAAGTTTATCCAGAGAGATGAACTTCATTTTACAGAAATAAACTTTGAAGTATCTTTCTCGCTGTATATTTTCTTTCTAATCGTATTTTATATTGTGTTGATTTGAGTCTTTTCATATGTGATTCATTCTTAAATCTTGGAATGTTATCAAACACTTTCATCTACTTATCTATTTTTCTTTTGGTAACATTGGAGCTCGCGAATCTCCCGGAACTTACTTGATCGTTCGATCGACACAGCTGAGCTCCCGCGACCCTCGTTTTCCTATGTCCCCCAAGTTCGTATTTTCGTCTCGAATATCTCTCGACTCTGGTTTCGTAAGGAATTCGCAGGCGCCACTCTCTCCTCTTCTCATGACACCATCGGGAATAACGATTGAGTAAGTTCGCAGCAGAGACCGTTATTACGCGGCTGAATCCTTTAGTTATTGCATCATTATCAACACCGTGCTCGAATTACTCTCTTTCTCTCTCCCTTTCTTCGGTTGCTTACTTCCTTTTTTCGTTTCCAGACCAATTTTGTTGCTTTTTTTCTTTTTTCTCCCGGTTTTTTTCGCGCGCAGCAGATCCTCATCGTTTCGCCGAAGAACATCGAAATAGATTCAGGCGCGGATCGGTTAGCTCCTTTTTTTTCTTCGTCTCTCGTCCAAATGGGCATTATCGCGACAACACGTACGGACCAAGAAGCAAGAATTGTCCTCGAAGAAATGCACTCTCTTCGCCAGAGGAGAATTCGTATCGAAAGAAACGTGTTTCCCTTTCTTTCCTCGCGGTCTTTCTTTCTCTTTTTTTTTTCTTCATTTTGCTTTTTATATAACCGATATACACACTGGTGGAGCACAAATCGACTGCGGTGTCACGTAATTTCAACTTGTTCGCATTTTTACATGCTACTAAACTTTCATTTATATACGTTCTAGAGTCTACAAGACAGAAAAACCTTACTTCATCGATATGTTATGTAAAATGTAATTGTTTTCAATTGTTCTCTCTCTTACGATAGATCGCACTCTCACATGATAATTTCTCGTCTCGCGGAAGGCATGAAACCGAAACTGGATATCGCTTTGGAAAGTGCGACACACTCGCACGCGCCTCCACGGATTTCCGGCGTGACCAGCGTCAAAATTTGAGGGATTGCGGGAGGGAGGGAGCGGAGCGAGCGACGGATGACATCCGCTGATGAGAAAGTAACACATATCGCGTGCCTTGTGTCGAAAGTGATGTATATTATTTACGTACGAAGAGATATCTCGCGCTTAATTCGAGGAATGGAGTTTCACGGCGGTGCAAACGCGCGGTCAATCGCGACGGCCGTCCAGCACGGCGACGATGGAATTATCGTACGAGTCCCACGAGTCCCAGTGTAGAAAAACGTGACGGGCAGTGTAAGAAACGCGAAAGAAACCACTTCGACAATTAATTCGGATACTCCGGACTACAAACACGGACACGACTTCCACGGTATCGTCGCGATAACGCTTGTGGTGCGATAATACGCTAATATTGCTACTCTCTTTTCTTGTACTTCCTCCCGCGATATACACGACTCAGAATTAACGTTACATAATCGCTCGTTCTCTATACAAAATGTTCGTACACATTAGAGAGAAACATCCTAATATACATACGTATATATTTTTTTAAAATTGTCTGGTGTATCTCCCCCGAATGGAAAAGAAAAAAACATTGAAAATACAAGGAAAACAGTATATGCTGACGAGATTGGGGAGGCCTGCGCTCTATATAGTACACTGAGGAAAAAATACTCGAAAGTTCAGTCGCAGGATATAAAGTTTATTCACGAAAAGATAAAGCTCATTTTCACAGAAATATAAATTTCACTTCATAGAAGTAAGCTTCATATCCTGCGAACAAATTATCAAGCACCTCCTTCCTTGGCGCAGCACTCACGCGCTCTGTACACTCTCGCGATTTCCGTAACATGATTTTATTTGCGAACGCGGCGAAGAGTGAGACACGGAGAACGGGCCAGAAAGAGAGAGAGGGGAGAGATACTCATTATATGTACAAATTCCGTACGCTCTCGATCCCATCCCGAGGTGCCGACGATGGAGAGCGCGATCGTCGTTTCAGTTTCATGCCTTTCAGGGATCATTATCGTGCAATCGGGACTTCGCGACAATCGAAATCTCTCGATTACATATCGGGGGGGAGGGAGGGGATTACACTACGCTCAATTATCGTCCTGCGGGGGGCGTATGTGAGTACAATGAGATCTGTGTATAGCTTCGATTCGTTTACAATTCAAATATACGATATAACGCGATGTTCGCCACAACGAGAGCCGCACGCGAGAGTATCGCGACGCGCGCATATAAACTATATCGCAATATACACGCCGCGTATATTAAAAAGCGTCCCCGTGGTACAAGGAGAGAGTCGTAGGCACAAACAAGTCCTCTCAACATCGGTACGTCAATTCCTTACTCCTACTTGTGTGATAATGATGATGGTGGTGATGATCAGGATTTATCGGTACCGAACCGTCGTCATGGCCGCCGCCAACGGCCGATGACCATTCTCAGTCAACGGCGACATGTCAATATTTGCGATAACATCGATATCGATAACGATGCAATTAATGGACAATAATGATGATGATGGCAATGAAGATCGGGACTTCGGTGATTGTGAACGATCATGACGATGATTGCGAAGGATCAATGTAATAATAATAATAATAATAATATTAATAATAATAATAATAGCGTAATATAATAATGATAAAAATAAAATAAAATAATAATGAAAGATATATTGTAATAATAGTAATCGCGCGTGCGCGCGCACGCGTAGCACTAGAGTAGAGTAGTAGTAGTAGTAGTAATAATAGCAATAGTAGTAATAGTAGTAGTAGTAGTAATCCGTAAGGATAGTGGTAGCAACAAGATGAAATGTAATCATGACAATAATAGCAATTATAATAGCACGAGGTCAGCCTTTCCGGGCTAAACGAGAGGGATCATTCGGTGTAAGTAGGTAAGTGGTGGATTCGCCAAACGCCTCGACTTTTATCAATGACTCGAGGCCGCGAGGAACATTTGTCGGCTTGTTTATTGGTAATGGGCGGGACACCTGGAAGGAAGAATACACTGGAATCGGAATACAAGAGCTAATGTCTGAGAAGATAGAAAGCTTATCGATGGCCGAAGATGCATTTGCCGAATTCAAAGCGTCGCCTTGATCTTGATGGAAATTTCAACAAGAACTTCATTATCGTAGAATTTCCTCATTACTGTGCAATTGAATTTATCAGTTTAGAGGACGCGCAATCAACGAAGGGGAACGCGTCATTCGGAACAGTCGGACGCGGTAATCCCTAGAACGACAGCTACGCGACAATCCAGTTGAAAGCGATAGAATTGCGAGTGCCGTCGCTCATTGTTCGACTTTTCAGATCACGAGCGATGAAATTCCCGCCAATGAGAAAGCCAGCTCCGTATTCGTCGCAAAGTACATCGCTGCCGACCATAAGTCTCATCTGTTCGAATGACACTCCCGTGAATGCACGGCGAACGCGACGCGTAAGAAAGAAACAAGCGAGAGAAACGAAGGAAAAAGTCCGGCAGCAGCTCTCGTGAGTCTGAATGAGAGGGTTCGGTATTCAAGCATTCGAGCAGCGAGTCTAGAGTCTTAAGTAAATGCCGATGAACTCGAGCCGATCAGTCGCGCGCGAGACGCTTTCGTTATACACAGAACAGTACCTAGAACAATTCTAACCGCAGTGATAAACAAAGTACCACGGAACTCCGGATACACTACACCGACGAGGAGTCATCATCGGCCGCGACGATCATGAACGGCTAGCGGAGGAAGGCGAATAATCCTCGTCCTCGTCGTCGTCGTCCTCGTCGAGTCCGCTTATTTCTATCGAAGGGACCGGCACACGACCGGCCAGAGGGAGAAACGGCTTCACTTTCGCTCCTCGACACTGAAGAGTTTGGAGACCGTCGCGCGTGACGCGGCCGTCCACTGGATTACAAATAACAGCAACGACAGGGTAGGATGCTTCCGACGATTGTGACGGTGGTGACGATAGTGGTGGTGGGTGCGCTAGAGCTCAGTTCGACAGCGGCGGCGGAGTCGGCGTTGGCGTCATTGTGACGGTGGTGTGCAGCACCGAGTCCCGGGACGCCGATCGGCTGCCGACGCGCAACAAGGTGACGGCCTCCCTCTCAGGGTCGGCGCTGATGGAGTCCCTGTTGCCGGCGCCGTCGCCCAGTCCTCCCGCCGCCCTGCGCCTGCCGCCCCTTGTCCTCGACGTCGCCGCGGTGAGGCCACCGCCGCGTGCCCCGGCCGCCGCCCCGGGCTGTTCAGCACTATTAACCGCGCACTGCACCGCCCCCCCGAGACCAACGATAACGGACAGTCATTTCTGCCTTCCACTTTTCTTCTTCTTGCGCTTGAAGAAGCAACAGCATCTGGAAATGAAGCAAACACTAATAGGACTTAGAGTCGTCTCCTTTGCAGCGTCTCTCGTTGGTCGACACCGACATGCAGCGGATACAGAGAGTGTGGCATTCCGAACGGTCGCGCGGCGTGAGAGAGCAATTCGTCCGAGCGATTTCCCGAGCGCGAGTTATCGCCGATCGCAAGTTGCGCGCGATAATGCGATCGTTAGTGGCTTCATTCCATACGTGTTAATCGCGTACGATTAGCATGCTGCTGTTACACTGATCTTGAGGTGGTCTTCGCAATGAGAAGGCCACCAGGAATTCATACTTGAAAGTTTTACAAAGCGCACTCCAGTTATGAGATAAGGATGCGTAAAAAAAGAGTCGAGAAATACAGAAGCGTGTGTTAGATTGGTGCAAAAGATTGATTGTATTTTGTCAAATAAAACGAAATTATTGCTATCCAATTTCGAAGAATTAATCTCTTTCAAAGAATCAATCTCTTCATAATCTTTATCTTTCTTTTACTTCTTGATCCCTCTAATTTCTTTTTGATAACGCTTATACTGCAATTACCTATGAAGCTATGTATTAGGTCGATGCAAAAGCTTTGGCAAATAAAATGGGAAACGAAATTATTCAAAGATTAATATTTATCATAAATAAAATGTACAAAATCAACTCATTATTTTATAAGACATCTAATGAGGGCCTTCTATCTTCCTTTTAATTTAATAGTCAAACTTCCTACTAGAATTTAATAAAAAAGTGACAAAATCTTTTGTACTAACTTAGGCTGCGTTCCGAAATTTACTGCCAGTACTGATATTCTATAGTATATGTGACATGAACTATAGATTTTCAATATTGGCAGTAAATTTCGGAACGCAGTCTTAATATATAGCTTCATACATTCAGAGAAAAATGCATGGTGGTATAGGTGACAGATGTACGGGTTTTGTATGTAGGATCAATGTATATAGTCTAATAAATCATTTTGTAGTTATTGCAACTAAAACCGAATAATTATGAGAATATATCGTTCTCTTTAATTCTGCATATAATTCTCCCAACCATTCAGTTTTAGTTACAATAATTACAAAATAGTTTATTAAACTATATATTGATTCCATATACAAAACTCGTATAGCTGTCATCTATATAGCCATTATCATGTACTTTTTTCTGAGTCTGAGTAATGTTGAAAGTATACTGTGCACCCTTGAATTTTTGATCTCTTTTCCAAACTGCCGTGTACATTTGCAACAGTAAATGAATGAAATAAATGAAGAATGAATGTTTAGCATCATTACTTGGGTAATGTGTCTGTAAACAGAATAGTGAGGATTAAGAAAGAGGAATAACAAAAAGAAATGGAAAAGATGTGCAATAATGGACAAAAAAATATACATATATTTTCAGGTAGTATCATTTCTGTGGCGCGTTCTGTATCATTTCGGCACGCGTAGACCGTTACACAAAATAAATGATATAAAATTTCCTACGAATAATAATAAATCTAACAATACCGATTAACAAGTGTTATATTTTCTCCTTAGGTTACGCAACAAAAAATCTTGAATGGACCATTTATACTGGCGGAACGAACCTAGTTCGGGAATGAGGGTAGGAGTAGTGCTGGAAACGTATGCTTGTAAGGATCGTAACAACTTTCCACATCGAGGACAGTGTGTGCGAATCAGTGGAGCTACTTTTCTGAAAACAACACCACGAGCGCAGCTTAGATCGGGCCTCCTGCCATTAGTTCAATTTATAATCATGCGTCTCTACTTGCTTCCACTCAAACGTACAGATTCTCCTAATATGTTCATGCTGTTAAATTATTCGTACGTTTATCTAAGCATTCCCGACAAGTTATTTACACTGCTCTAATGAAATTTGATAGCATATCGCGTATATAGGAACGTAGCAGCGACGCATGCACGCGCGGTGAAACTCGCTCGCTCGAAAGTTCACCGTATTTAGAGCAACATGGACAAAGAGACGAATTGTGATACGTAAAAACAAACTGCTACTAACTTGGTTTCGTCGATCATATCCACTTCCTGAGGCGCCGTGATTGGTGTGTTGGAGTGGCCAGCAGTCGGGTCATCGTTAGCCAGCTCCCCGTTTGTGGACGACACCACCTGCGTAAATCACACAACATTATTGCAAAGCAATCTATAATACAGAGCCGTGAAGGGGTCTCACATTTACGGGATTTTTTACGTTTCTATATAGACTTTACTTCTCGGCACTATCGGATGTGTGAGAGCACAAAAAAAGAATCGTTTCTGTAACTACGGACTCGGGAAGATATAACTACGAGAAGTGATACACATTACAGATCAATCTGTCCGAAAGTCTACTTGCAAGTTAAATAGGGAACTAGATAAAAGATCTTACGTGACAAAGGGATGAGAAAACGTGAACGTTGAAAGAAAAAAGAAAAAGAGAGAGAGAGAGAGAGAGAGGGAAGAAAGACTATTGCGAGTAGGATCGATAAAGCAATATATTTTCTAAAGAATAAGGGAAGGAAGCGTAAGTAATTGTACTCCGATCTTTCTTTAAGAGTTACGCGGTTTTGTTTGTTGCATGTGACGACGACACTCTTGTTATTGTAAAGTGCAGGGTGGACAAACGGTCGTAATAATACCGGATTAGTATTTCACGTCCAATCAAAGAAACAAGGTAAGAGGTCGATCAATCGACACAAAGACAACATGCCGCAACAAGTGAAATTGCACAGACTTCTAACTGACCATAATCCAGTGGTGCTTTGTCTAGAAATAGAGCGAACAGTTTACTCCTGGTATAGACTGAGACATTTGATATACGTCGAGATGTTATGAGAGACTGAGAGAGAAAGAAAGGGAGAGAGACAAGGAAAAAGGCAAGAGAGTTATAGGGAGAAACAATGAATGACGATTCGCCGTTAATCAATGAATGATCAGTTGTACACATGAGCTCTCTCTCACACACACGCACGCACACACATACACACGCGTAATATTCCCTTTCGAAATCTCGACGATTCCCGCAGAAAGCGAAACCTACGGAGACGGGGAAATCGAGAGAACTCGTTTTTCCCGCGACTGACAGAGAAAGAGAGAGAGAAAGAGAGAGAGATAGAGAGAATGATTGAAACAAAAGATGAGAGAAGACGCAAAGTAAGTCGAAAAGGAAAGAGAGTCGCTTTGGAAAATTAAAAGACGGAATGACACGAGAGGATATGAGAGAGGAAGATGCGCAGGTAAACTCACCTGTACAGAGCCGTGCCTGTCAGCAGGTGTCAATGTACCACCGGCTCCTGACTGCTTCACAGTATCTGGCCACGTGGCTCCCACCCCTTTACCGCCCCCACCTCCCACCCCTCCACCTGCCACGTCCTGAAGGAACAAGCATGACAAATATCGCAGTTGCGTCGCGTTAAGCAATTCCGCGGATTTCTCGAATGACAGTTAGAGAAAAAAAAGTGTCGGAAAAATGTTCCACAGAAAGATGGAGACGATGGAAACGGTCTCGGTGAGAGAGATCTCTCGGGAGAATGAATTCTGAGCATCGTAACAAGTCGTGACAAGTTCGCACTGAAATGACCACGAGACAGGAATCCTGATCCGATATTAATCTCTACTTCTTGTAGGGATGAAAGAGAGAGAGAGAGAGAGAGAGAGAGAGAGAGAGAGAGAGAGAGAGAGAGAGAGAGAGA